TAGCTTTTGACGACCAAGACTCTGTGGATAAGAGTGTCATTTAGAAATACCATACTGTGAATGGGCTCAACTGTGAAGTAAGGAAAAAGCCCTGTCAAAGCAAGAGATGGCTAGTGCTTCATCTAGCCAAATAGGTCAGAGTGGTTCTGGAAACTCTGGTGGTGGTCATGTAAGTGGTTTCTGTGGAAATAACAATTTTGGTCATGGAGGAAACTTCAGTGGCCATGGTGGCTTCAATGGCAGCCATGGTGGTCGTGAATATGATGGCAGCAGGGATGGCTACAATGGATTTGGTAATGATGGAAGCAATTTTGGAAGTGGTGGAAGCTACAATGACTTTGGCAATTGCAGCAGTCATCAAATTTTGGACCCATGGACGGTAGAAACTTTGGAGGCAAAAATTCTGGACCTTATGGAATGGAGGCCTATACTTTGTCAAACCACCAAACAAGGTGGCTATGGCAGCAGCAATAGCTATGGCAGTGGCTGAAGGCTTGAATGCTGCGAGGAAAAAAAACTTAGAGGGGAGAGGAGAGCAACGGAGTGCAGGACAGCTACAGGTTCCAAGGGACGGTGAACTCAGCTAAGCACAGAGGTAGGTGGCAGGGCCTGGCTGCTACAAGAAGGCATGGTTTAGACAGTACTCATGTGGATGGGCAGGACCTGCAGGACTGTGCTTGTGACTAGCTGATAACAGGAACTCTAGTTTCCGTTCTGTGGAAATTGTAAAGCATTCCACACAGGATTTTAATGTAGATTTTTTTTTTTTTTTTTTTTTTTTGGCACCCATGCTGTTGATTGCTAAATATAAGTATTTTTAAAAAATAAATAAATAATTAAAATTTCAATTAATTGAAAAGGGCTGGGAATGTGATTCAATGGTTAAGCCCCCCGGGTTCAAACCCTGGTACCCCAGCATCCCCCCAAAAAAGAGACACAAGAAAATATTCATGACATAATACTAAGAAAACTTTTAAAAACATAAATACAATATGGCACTGAATGATTGCAACTGAAAACAGTTATGACGCAACCAAACAAAAAATGAGAAGTATTATGCCAAAGAAACAAATAAAGCTGTAAGACGGTAACGAGAATATGAGAGTTTTGGATTTTTTTTAAAAATCTTAAATGTTATAATTTTCAGATTTATGCCTCAGGACAAAACCTGAATGGAAACGTATTGAGAAAGAGTTAAAATAGTTAAGACTCAGGATATTTTTAATACCTTTTTTTGGTCATTATAATGCTGCTTAGCAATAACAAATTTTATTTTATTTATTTTTAAATATATTGTTTTTAGTTGCTGATGAGCCTTTATTTTATTTATTTATATGTGGTGCTGAGAATGGAACCCAGTGCCTCACACATGCCAGGCAAGTGCACTGCCGCTGAGCCCTAGCCCGGCCCCTCATTTCATGTAGGTAAATAGGCAGGCGGGGGCGCTCTGCCTCCTAGAGCACGCCTGAGCCTTTTGTCCTCCTCTGTGACTTTCTCTAATCTAAAGCAGCAGGCACGGCCATTCTTTTTCTTTCCTTTTTTTTTATATTTATTTTTTAGGTGGACATGGACACAACACAATGCCTTTATTTTTATGTGGTGCTGAGGATCCAACCCGGGTCCCGCCTGCTCCAGGTGAGGTGGCTGAGCCACAATCCCAGCCCCTCTTTCCATTTTTTTTTTTAAACAACTTCTTGATGTAAAGAGTTGATCAGAGGGTTTGGATTTTTTGCTTGTTCGCTTGGTTCTGGAGCTTTCTGTTTGTTTGCATACTAGGAATTGAACCCAGGGCCTCAAGCATGGCGAGCACGCGCTCGGCCACTGAGCTCCAGTCCCCACAGTCATCCCTGCGATCAAGACATCTGTTAAGTGGGCTGAGACTCCTGAGGTCAAATATCCCACGGACACCGGTCATGGTCGGAAGCTTTTCAAGTAATCAATGAAAGCCCTCAGGTAGCCGTGGGTCCACTTCCCCAGGATACCGTCAGGAACTTCAGAATAGCAATGCTTTCTCTTTCTCCAAACTGCTAGCAATGCTGTTAGACTCCCTACCCACCATCCCTCACACGTCACTCAAACACGGTTCCCATTAACTAGTAACTTACCTACTGCTTTCTCTCCAACTAGCCACTATCATCACCACCACAACCTCACTTAAAAAAAATTGAGACTTAATTTATCAGGAGTTTTCTTGGACTAAATCTCTTCTAACACACACAGTATTTTAGGATTTCAGTTATTAGTAAATACTTGTTATAGAGAATGACCTTTTCACTGTAAAGCATCTCCAGCTAAAGAAAAACAGTAAAATAGAGCATAGCCTTTGCTAAAATAATCAACTAAAATATGGAAAAGAAAAATAACTTTAGTTTCTATATATAACTTTATTTCCAACTTTTTTCTCCAGGGACATGAGTACAAAAACTTTACAGCTTAGGCAGACTATTTTGAGAGGTTTTTTTTCACATCTTTGCTTATCTAAATTCCGCCTCCTCTTTAAGGCACCAACCATTGCTGCAAGTTTTACCTTTTTCTATGAAGTCTTAAAATGGCTAAAAGTTATTAGGCACTCACCATACGGCAGATCTAGCACTGAGAGCTACCATATATAAATTTAATCTTCACCACATCTCTGTGAGGTAAATATTATTATTTTACCCCATTACTTTTCAAAGTAAACAAAGAGGCACAGTTAAGTGGCTGATCCTGGATTTGAACTCAGTGTCATACGGTTCCAGAGGCTGTGCTCTTTTAAGCACTCTATGTGACCTTTCCTGAAGAAAGATTTTCTTCCTTCTATTGTGGTTACATACACCCCACAATAAGTTTATCATACTCTGTACACTCTTCCTTGTTTTCTTGTTTGCTTCATGTGTTTACATTTGCTCTCCAACTAAACTATAAGTTCCTTGTAGGCATGGCAACTATGTCCTCTGCTTCTCGCCCCTTCTTCCGGAAGAGTGCTACGCATGAAAACATGGAAAATACACTTCTTAGGTAACTTTTCAAAATCCCTGGCAACATCTACAATATTTTAAAGACAAATTTTTTTTTCTAATTTTAAAATGCAAAATGTACTTTAAAAAGAAGAAATTTAAATATTGAGGCATGATAACAAGGGAATTCTAAGGAGAAAGAACTGGGCATAATTATGCCTTGCTATAAGCCTGTCACTGCTAAAGAACATGAAGTCACCCACTATGACTCTGCAAAATTAACACCTGAAGGATAGCTCACACCATCAGTGTCAGATTTAGCATTACTAAAGTTAGGAAACTGACTACATATATTTATTTTTCTTCTTACTCAAAGCATCTCTTCCTGGTGAGTCATACCTATAAAACTGACAGACCAATCTACTTCCATTTCCTAAAAGAGAACACTTAAAATCAAATGAGGTTTTTTTCTTGGATATGCACAATCAAAAACCAATAATCTGTTCTAAGTAATAACACACAGGGGGTGGGGGATGCTGACGTCAGAAAGTCTACCAGGATTCTAAAGCAGAATAAATTTTAAGAAAAGTTTTTCACTCCATAAAAATGAGAGTTCAGAGACATAATCTATCTGGAAGCACATTCTACTCAACCCATCTACCAGGCTATTCAGAATTAACCAAAAAACTGGAGTTAGGTTAGGAAGTGCCACAGACCATAAGCAAAAGAAAACATTCTTGGGCCGGGGCTGGGGCTCAGCGACAAAGTGCTCGCCTAGTGCACGTGAGGCCCTGGGTTCCATCCTCAGGACCACATAAAAATAAATAAATAAAACAAAAGTATTGTGTCCAACTACACAACTACACCTAAAACTAAATAAATAATAATTAAAAAAAGAAAACATTCTTAATAAAATGGGACTATCACCCAAACATTCACCAAGTTTTTCAATAATGATTTGAGGGGTAGGGAATACATAGGTCTTAAGATAATTTCAGAAACTAAGAGAAGTCTAGGGTTTCATGGCTCCTTATTAAATACCACTTTTCAACTGAAACTGTAATTTCAATTTACATACAAAACAAATACTAAAACATTTCACTACACCCCTAGACATTTCAGCTACCTCTGGAAAAGACTAATGGGATCCTGAAACAAAAGAATTCTGATTATGGGATTTAACTTTTCTGTTAGCATCGGTCAGCTTTCTAGAGCCCGCAAGCTGTGTGGCAATAGAGGATACACACCCAGAAGCAAAAGCAAAACCAGCGTCTGTTGCAGGTTGAAATGGTCTGTCCCTTTTGGGCTCTAGTTTCTAAATGATTAAAAACAAAGCATAATAATGTCATTGAATTGCAATTTAAAAATAGCTAACATGGTCAAAAAGACAACTGAAGAGATTTTTAAGATAAATGGATAAAGTGAAAAAAAGTGCATTGAATTTCATATAAAAGTGAAAAAAAAAATACTCTGAATTTCATATGAAAAGAATGCCCTATTTTCAAATTACAGTTTTTTGTTTTTCTCTAAAAATATGAATGCCACATTTTACAAAGAAATTAAATATAGGCTCCATCTTGGGATTTGAGAGGCAATAAATGGCCTTAATCTATCCCCAACTATCAAGCTGACCTGAGAAGCAAGCTCTAGAAACCAGTACTGTTACACTGCTGAGGAAAGCTTTCTTGCAATCTAAATAAAAATTCTGGCCTGCTCATTCTTTACTTGACTGTGATGCCTCTAAATCAGAGTCTGCCACACTGATATTTCAAAAACAGCACAAGCATTTTATTCTCATACCAAATACACAATGAAGAAGCAGAAAAAGAACTGAAAACATCAACAGGTCTCAAAGACTATTACTTTCTCCTAATCAAAGGTTTTCAAAAGTAACTTGCCAAAGCTTCAGCTACTGAAAGATCTTTGGAAAGGCTACTCTTACCCATATTTTTCTTATACATTCAGTCAGATTTTGATGTTTTGCTGCACTGGAAAGTGATTACCTGTCTGGTTTTAACACCCACCCACTTCCTAAAGAATCCCTACAGCTAAAGGAAAACTTACCTCTGCAAAACGAGTTGATGTGCTACTGTCTATCCGGCTGCTGCCACCACCTAAAAAACTGAAGAGAAAAAGGAATGGTGGTGATTCTATTCCCAGGAACAAGCTCCCTTCCCAGAAGCTAAATATAGAATGGCATAATGAGAACAAAGCCCAATAAGGAAAAACAACTCATCCCACACAACACCTACAAAGGGAATTATGAAGACTGCATGTGCAGTAATAAAAATGAAATCATTTCATTAAGAACTGAAGATCATCATGTTAAACAAAACAAGGCAGACTAAGAAAGACAAGTATTGCCTGTTTTCTCTTATATGTGAGATCTGGAGTAGAGTCGGGGCAGATGATATAAAAGTAGAAATGGGACCGACTATTAGGAAAGGGAAGGGGACCAGAGAGAGGGAGGATAGGGCATGAGAGAGAGTCATATGGAGGGCGAATGCAATCAAAGCATATTACATGCATGTATGAAAATATCACAATGAAACCCACTGTTTTGTATAATTAACATGAACTAATAATTGTAACTCTGAAAAAATACTGTATGTTAAACAAAGACTGGAAGGTGGTTCCATCCATGAAAAAATATTACAGTAAACCACAGAATCAGGTGGTTTTCAAGTGAACCAGACTAAATCAAGTGAAAATTTGGGGAGAACTACCACCACAGAAAAGGAAGGCAAACCCACAGCCAGTAATGCAATTCAAATCTGACCTAGCAAAGAAGAAAACATTCATCCTCAGAGGGGCTAAGAAAACAAGCTGGGTGCAGTGGCTCATGCCTATGATCCCAGCGATTCAGAAGGCTGAGACAGGAGAATACAAGTTGGAGACTAGCCTCAGCAATTTAGTGAGACTACTGCTTTAAAAAGAGACAGAGAGAGAGAGAGAGAGAGACAGAGACAGAGTCAGAGTCAGAGAGATTAAGAAAACAACAATTTTTCACAATAAAACCATCCAACCATAATTGGGAGACTGAGGCAGGAGGATTGCAAATTCGAGCCTCAGCAATTTTAGCGAGACTGTGACCCAAAATAAAAAAGGGCGAGTACGTACTCAGTGGTACAGCACCACTGGCTCAATCCCCTGTACCAAAAATAAATAAATAAACAAAACCATTTGACTACCAGATGATCGCAACTTTGAGAAAATAAGTTAATATTTCCTGAGAATGATTAAATGTAGTCATATAAGGGGTCTGGCACAGAATTTAGCACATTAGAAAAGGATTCAATAAATATTTTCTTCTTCTTCTGATCATTTATCCAATTATTTGATTATCCTATCCATCCTGAAGAACTCATCTCAAATACTACCTCTTCCATTAAATCACTTCTGAATTCACTAACCAAATAAGAATCCTCTATACCCCTCTACACTCTAATGATCCTAAATTCTACCTTGTATTATAAACATCTAGGATTTTTCTCATTCACTTCAACCCTTTTCCTTCCTTTCACAAAAATAAATTCAAAAGACAAAGACTGTACCTTATCATGCCTCTAAAATATTTAGTGTTTATTACATAGAACACTCATCACCCTAAAATATCAATAACTCAAAAATAAAAGTTGTTGAATTAATATCACATGTTTAAACAATAAAATACCTACCTATTCCCAAGGACTCTGAAGAGTGGGAAGAAACATTAAATCTCATTGTCCAAGCCAGGTGTGGTGGCGCACACCTGTAATCCCAATGGCTCAGGAGGCTGAGGCAGGAGGATCACTGAGTTCAAAGCCAGCCTCAGCAACTTAGTGAGGCACTTAGCAACTCAGTGAGACCCTGTTTCAAAATAAAATATAAAAAAGGGCTGGGGATATGGCTCAGTGGTTAAACCTCCCTGGTAGAAAAAAAAAAAAAAAATCTCATTGTCCATATGAAATTTGCCAAGAAGAGAAACTAACACTGTAAAGAAAGGGAGATGGAAAGACTCACAAGAACTGCTGGATACCAGCTCAAGAGACACACATAAGTGCATACACATACATACAAAAACCCTAACAATAGAACATCTACAAACTATTATAATAGCTTTCATTTTCAGGATTACAATACCCGTCCAGGCACTGTGCTGAGTTCAATACAGAAACAAACACATCCTGTTAGTCAAATCAGAAGCAAAAAGCGAATGCCAATCTCTATGTAATCGTTCTCAGGCCTTACTCTGATTAGCAACAACTTAACGCCTGTTTTGCTTCAGAAGTTAAAAGTGCTTTTATAAAAATCACTTCCATTGTATAGCATGCACTTGTGTACCTGTACATCTACACTAAATAATACCAGATACCCAGAAAGGCAAAGTTGAACGGCTATATATCCATTTTATTGCCTGAGCCTAACAAGCTTCCAAGGCTCTTCTTCTCTGCCTTTGCTACATGGTTTCAGGAATTTAAATATTAGTAACTCAAACTATCAATTTGCAATTAAAACCATCAACTGTATCTTTTAGGATTCTGCTCCCCCTGAAACTCGAAACCTCCCTTTCCTTAACATTCCTTTGCATTTTAAAAGTGACAGAGCTAATCATAGAGAAGGGATAATAAAAACAATGTTCTGAGAAATTTTACAAAGCTAAAGAAACTTCACAAGATGTCTTTCTAGATGTATGTTTACTTGGGGTCCATTATCCCATATTTACATTCAAGGACTTCCTCTTATTAATTTTTAAAATCTAATCACTGTAATTGCTAAGTATTCAGATCAATAAACACTTACAAAGAGAAGGGAATCTTATGCTGCTTCTAAGATTGATTCTAAGAAAAAGACTTCTTTGCTTATTTAAAACATTGATCTCTTTCAAAACACAATCACTGGGGTTGGGATTGTGGCTCAGTGATAGAGCAACTGTGAGGCACTGGGTTCGATCCTCAGCAACACATATAAATAAATAAAGGCATTGTGTCCATCTACAACTAAAAAAATTTTTTTAAACACAATCATTACTTCTCAGTAATTGCTACCAAAAGCACCTAGGTAAGACTATTTTTTTGACCTATAAAGGTAGAAATAAAAGAATTAAAGTCAAATGAGAAGTGGAGCTGCAGAATTCATAGTTCCATGCTAGAAAAAGAGTTATCCTGGCGTTTATCACTGTATCATTTATAACTATATCTAGGTATGAAAATACCGTTGCCTAAAGAAACCAGGATTGCGGTTTTAAATCTTAGAGAAAAAAAGTCTCATTAATTACTCCCCTACAACCAATAGGCTCTTATCCAACACATGCAGAGAACAAGTGCCTGATAAAGTATTTGATGCAATTATAACAGCACAAATAAAAAGCTATCCCAAGTCAGCATTCCATCCACACACATTGCTAAGTTTGCTGTCATGCTATCTTATAGGGTCAGTGTTGGCATTGTTATTTAAAACCAAAATTATTACATCAACATGTAAGTATTTGTACCAAATTAGATTCCATGCCACACAGAAGCCCCAGCTCATTTACACATATAATCAGCAATCTTTAATAAAGTAAAACTAACAGTACATACTGTAAAATGCGGAGTTTCTCTTGGTAGTTGAAGGGACCTTCAACCTTAGATTCTGCCAACAGCAATGGTAAAGAAATTACCTAATGCCATTAAAATTCCCAAAGTCACTCTAAGATTAAGAAGCTTCAGATTGCAGATTCTTTTTAACAGCTGGAAGTTCACTTCTTTAACCAATGTTTAACTAGCCCCAAAAGAACAAGTGCCATTATGTTTAGCCACACACACACAAATGCCAATACAATATCAATGCTATTCTACAATTTTTAATAATTTTATTCATATTAGCCAAAAAGAAATCTATAATATTGTCCCTTCTGAGAATATTTATTCCTCCTTTTTTCAGTTTTATTCCTTTACAAAGGCCAATGAGAGGGCTAGGCTTATAGCTCAGTGGTACAGTGCTTGCCAAGTATGCATGAGGCCCTGTGTTCAAGTCCCAGCACCACAAAAAAAAAAAGAAAGAAAGAATACTAAAGCAAATGAAAACGAATTTCAAAGCATAACAGACACAAATATTAATATTACAGTGGCAAGATGGCAAAAGTTTGACAGTAATAATCTTAAATAAGAACAAGGGATCCAAGGCTTCCTCAAAACAGAGTAACAAATCAAGTCCCCTTGGCTAGATATTCTATCTACCTTCCTAGATGTCTTTATGAGAAGTTGCACCATAACCCACCAAAGACACATAACAGCAATTTACCTTCAAGTAACAAAATGATCACCAAAAACTAACCAATAATCTAAGAGAATCCCAAAGTCTGAGAAAATAAATGAAAACTTACCAGATTTACTCTGATATGGGTATAGAATGAAACACCATCACGAGCAAATGGGTCTCATCACACTCCCTATCACATTACTTTGTAAATTTTCCCTTTTTCTTTTCCTTCTCTCTCCCATTCTTCTGCCCTCTCATGTGTACATGCGCACACACATGCACACTAGTGCTTGTGTGTGTGTGCTCTCTCCTTTTCTCATAGTGTAAGTCATAAAACAAATTCATTCAGTTGATGGCAAGAGAAAACAGTTTTAATAATAGAATGCCTGATTTATTCATGAGCTTATACAATACCTGGAATCATCTGTCACTTCTTCAATAAAGCCTGATTCACATCTGGGACATATATATTCCTATAAGAGAAAGGAAGAAGTAAATAAAGGTTTTTTCATTAGGAAGCTAAGTATGTAGTTTCAGAATAGTATGCAGTATACAAGGTAAAGTACTGAAATGTTGTATTTAATTGCTGATTCCCAGGATGGTTTTTTCCTATCATACACTGGTAAATAAAGAATTCCCTAAGATGTTTGTGGAATGGCTTCATAGGTACCTAAATTGTTCCTATTGAGAGATGGAAGGAGAGTGTCAAAAATTTGTTAACTTGATTTTTGCTTGTTTTTAAAATTTGGGTTCATTGGTTTATTCTGTGTTATTGTTTTGGTGATAGTGGTAGGACAGTTGGTTTATTTTTTAGCTGAAATGAACTCATTATCTAATTTTATTTCCAAATTTAAAAAAAAAAGATCCACTACATACATGAGAGTCGTAAAAGATATTAATAGATGGATATAGAAATATTTTTTAAACATGAACATACAGGAGACAAACTAAATCAGACAAATCACAACACTAATCCATTCGCAGACTAGAAAATTACAATTTTCTAGTAATTGATAGGGGATGCTTATCATAGTTTTCCAAAGTATAAAACAGGAAGAGTAACATGTGCTACTTGGGAGCTGAAGCAGAAGAATCATAAGTTTAAGATCATTCTGGAAAACACAGGATGACCACAACTAAAAGGAGAAAAAAAAAAAAGAAAATGACAATAAAAAGTATATTTTAACTACCTTTTAAAATAGATGTGGGAAAGGCTTCTTCAACTTTTGTTCCTGATACTTTATGAACCCTAAACTTTGTTTTATCAGACCGTGATGTAGCAATATTTAGCTCTTCAAAGATAGAATGGTATCTTAAATATTCAAAGGCTTTCTTAAGAGGAATGTAAAGAAAAGAAGGTCAATCCTTCATGTCAAGGAGATTAGTTTGATGAGAAGAGAGTTAAATCAAGAAATGGTAGTATTTAATAAAATAACTAATATCATCAAAGAATACTGGAAATGAAATAAATATCAAGGTTTTGTCTGAACAGAGTCCCCAAATACTAGTCTGTTTGTTCAATTAAGAAGGAAATTATAGGGGCTGGGATTGTGGCTCAGCGGTAGAGTGCTCGTCTAGCATAAAGGCATAGTGTTGTGAGGAAGGAAGGGAGGGAGGGAGGGAGGGGGAGAGAGAGGGGGAGGGGGGGGGGGGGGAGAAAGAAAGAAAGAAATTAATTAATTAATTATGGGGGCTGAGGCTGTGGTTCAGTGGTAAAGTGTTTGCCTCGTATGTGTGAGGCACTGGGTTCAATCCTCAGCACCACATAAAAATAAATAAAAACCACTGTGTGTTCATCTACAACTAAATAAATATATAAAAAAAAAGAAGAAGAAAATTATGGGGCTGGGGCTGAGGCTGGGGCTCGGAGATGGAGTGCTTGCCTCTCGTGTGCCAGGTGCTGGGTTTGATCCTCAGCACCACATAAAAATAAATCAATCAAGGTATTATGTCCATCTACAACTAAGAGACAATTAAAAAAAAAAAAAAAGGAAATTATGTATTTAGGATCATGATGACAGAAAACAGCAGGCATGGGGTTTGGAGGGGAGTTATATGAGTGTGGATATTCAGAATAGGCAAACAGGGACCAGACTGTGGAAAACCAGATCACCATAAACCTTAACCCTGTGATCAGAAGCTCTCAACCCTAGAGACATATTCATAATGGACATACTACTATAGAAATAAATCCCCGAATCCCTCCCCCTACTGCTTCACCCTCCATACTCCCAGGTAGCGGTAACTCCAACCCTTTCTTTCCCAATGAATCAATAACTTATTTTATTTTGTGTTACTAGGGATTGAACCCAGGGCCTCATGCATGCTAAGGCAAGCACTCTACCACTGAGCTACCTCTCCAGTTCTTTTATTTATTTTTTAATTTTAAGACAAGATCTTGCTAATTGCCCAGCTAGCCTCAAACTTGTAATCTTCCTGCCTCAGCCTCCCAAGTTGCTGGGATTACAGATATGGACCACTGCACCCAGCCAGATTTTCAATGTAGACCAAACAGCCTTATATTGAAGATGCCATTGAGGACTTTCATAGGTAGACAGAAGTCAAGGCCTAGCCTCAAAGGACAGGCTGACCTTGCGAGGGGCCACTGCAGCTGGCTTCAAAGCCAATGTTCATTTACCATTCTGGGATTCCTAGGGCCCAGAAGAAGTATACTAAATCTACTCTGCCTATGCTCTACAAATGGAACAACAAAGCCTGGATGACCATCCATCTGTCTACAACATGGTTCACTCAGTACCTTAAGCCCACTGTTGAGACCTACTGGTCACCCAAGAGCTCTGATGAAGATATACAGATGTACAAGATCAATGCTGTTTTCATGCCTTCTAACACAAATCCATTCTGAACCCAAAGATTAAAGAGTAATTCTGACTTTCAAGTCTCATTATATAAAAATATAAAACACCCAATAAGATACACCCCTGTAATCCCAGGTACTCAGAAGGGCAAGGCAAAAGGGTCCCAAGTTCTAAGCCAGTCTCAGAGACTTAACAAGACACTGTTTAATAAAAAATTAAAAGGGATGGGGATGTGGCTCAGTGATAGAGCACCCCTGGGTTCAATTCTCAGTCTAAAAAAACAAACAAAAAAACTATCACAGATGACCATGAGGTTCAATATGTGGCTACAGAAGGAGAGAGCAGCAAGAGGGGTGAGGGTCGCTAGAGGTTAAGGGTCATCTGTGTTTATGGTGGACTTCAAAAACATTTGATGGTAGGTGTGGCTCTAGGAACAGGCCATAAGCCACCACAGCTCCGTCATAGGAACAAGACACTTCGGAGGTATACGTAAAACTGTAGAAGTACTAGATGGTTCTTCCTATCATTTGGCAATAACAAATACTCCTTCCATTTATAAGAACCAATCAAACTTTTCTACATAGCTCTTGATACAAGGAAAAGAAGCCGAATTTTTCCATATATGTATATATTTGGGGGGGGGGGGGGGGGGTTTTAGGGGGTTTTTTTGTTGTTGGTTTTTTTCAATACTTGGGACTAAACCCAGGAACACTCTACCAATGAACTACACCTCCAGCCCTTTTTTATTTTTATTTTGAGACAGGGTCTTGCTAAGTTGCCTCGGCCTCCCTAGTAGCTGAGATTACGGGCACACATCTGTGCTGGTGGTCCATAAATTATCCCTAATAATAAAAGTAGCTAATTGTAAAACAAACCAACCCCACAAGCATGGACTATCCCTCCTGCAATCAATATTACAGAAAACATGGGGCTGGGGATGTGGCTCAAGCGGTAGCGCGCTCGCCTGGCATGCGTGCGGCCCGGGTTCGATCCTCAGCACCACATACAAACAAAGATGTTGTGTCCACCGATAACTAAAAAATAAATATTAAAAATTCTCTCTCTCTCTCTCTCTCTTTAGGAAAAAAAGGAAAACACAGACAAGTTCTTCATCCTCTATCAAAGTAAAAAAAAAACATTGATGTCTCATACTTTAGTAGACTGACTTCAGAACAAAGCCTGGCCTCAGAAATTATCTCACTTCCATTTCTTTAATCTGCCTCTTGGAAGCCTGAAAACCCTGAAATAATATATTGTTGTTCCTGTTTCTAGTTTTTTTTTTTTTTTTTTTTTTTTTTTAAGGGTTTTATCATTCCACTTACTAGCACTACTCTTCAGGATCCGACCCTATTCACTGGAATCTACCCCTCCACTGCACAACAGAATTACATTAATCACATCAAACTAATCCATAGGCACAATACTGAGAGAGGAGAGAGAGGAAATAACATTGACATACACTGACAGTTGTTAACACTGAGTTAATTTTTGGAGGTGTGTCTATGTGGGTTTATTTTATGGGGGTTTTTTTGTGGTTAAAAAGAAAGAAAAAGAACACGTGAAACTTGAAACTTAACCCCTTAAACACTTTTAAGTGTATAGTTCAGGAATGTTACATAGATTCACATTGCATGAAGCAGATCTCTAGAACATTTTTGTCTTGCAAAAGTGAAACTTTATACCCATTAAACAACAACTTCCCCTTTCTATTCCTCTCCCTATCCCTGGTAACTACCACTTTACTTTGTTTCTATTAATTCGACAATTTTAGATATCTCATGTGAGTGAAATCATATAATATTTTTCTTTTTGTGACAGATTTATCTCCTTAAGTATGAAAGTTCTCAAGGTTCACCTACATGGTAGCATGTGACAGGATTTCCTTTCTTTTTAATAAGACTGATATATTATTCCACTTTATGTTTATACCACACTTTATTTTGCTTTACTTTGCTTACTGAAGAACATTTGGATTGTTTCTACTTCTTAGCTATTGTGAAGAGTGCTTCTGTGAATACAGGTGTATAAATCTCTCTTCAAAATCCTGCTTTCAATTCTTTTGGACACACAGCCAAAGGTGGGATTGCTGGATCATATGGTAATTCTATTTTTAATTGTTTGAGAAACAAACATACTATCTTCTATTTCAGTTGTACCTCTTTAAAGTCCAACACTATACCAGAGTTACAATTCTTTGATGCACAAAAATTGTTAAGTCTGATATAGTCCCTTTTATCTATTTTTATGTTTGATGACCTATACTTCTGGTGTCATATCCAAGAAATCACTGCCAAATCCAAAGCCACGAAGCTTTTCTCCTTTCTTCTATGAGTTTTATAGTTTGGGGTCTTACATTTCGGTCTTTAATCCATTTTTAGTTGATTTTTGTGTACAGTATAAGGGTCCAACTTCATTGTTTTGCATTCAGAGATTGTTTTCCTAACATCATTTGTTGAAGAGGTTGTCCTTGTCCCATTTAGTGTTACTAGTATCTTTGTCAAAAATCATCTGATATCATCTAACCATCCAGCAAGAGTTTTTGAGCGAGTTCTCTATTCTACTCCATCAGTTTAGGTCTATCTTTATGATAGTACCACACAGTTTTGAACACTCCAGCTTACCATATGGATTAAAGTAAGGAAGTGTAAGTCCTC